GTCTTTTTTTTCTGCTTGTTCATTTTCTTATTTTTCCTTCTTTTTTTTTGATTGCATCTTAAATCACGACCAGATAAACTGTCGTGATTTAAGATCCTCTGCAGCTTTGCAGAGACTTTTTTTCCCACTTCTTTCCCCCATTCACTCCCGTCCCGTCCCCTTTCCCTCGCCGCTCCGTTGGCAGTGAGAGTGGAAAAGAGACAACAATCTGAGCGATGGCTACCGTCTCAGCACCTACCCCTAAGCTGGATCGCTACGTTGTCATCCACGTCGCAACCACCTGTGATGAACATGGTGTCTACGTCACCAAAGATTCTGCAGAGGTGATCGAATTGGGGTGGATTTTGTTGGATACCAAAACCTGCGAGGAGGTGGGCTCTATTTTCCTGAATCAACAACACTCGGCGCTTTTCCTTCTCCCCTCCTCCTTGCGCCTGACTCCCTTTTTCCCCTCGCAGTGGCTAGGCCACCATCGCTGTCCGTCCGCATGTCGCTGACTTGGACTTTTGTTCTCTCCTTAGCTTCATCGCGAAAGTGTTCTCGTCAAGCCCGTCAACACTCCCATTACGCCTCTTTGCAGTAAGTGGTTCTTTTCTTTTCTTTTATTTTTTTTATTTTTAATCTATCCATCTACCCAATTTCAACCGAACACGCGTTCTTGAATTTAGATCCCCCTGCTCCTACACAGTTTCCCATTCACTGGATGCATCAGTCTGTTGGTTCAATGGCTGACTGTGTCTGACAGCAAGCCTTACAACTCTGACATGGGAACACGTCCGCTCGGCAGGTACCTTCCGTGACGCAATCAACCGCTTCGATGCCTTTGCCCAGGAACACCTCATCAGCAAGAATCTCGAGTTCGCCTTTGTGACGTTGGATTCGTGGGATCTCCGAGTGCAGTTGCCCCGTGAGGCTCGTGACAAGGCCGTCGTTCTTCCCCCATATCTTCAGCACTCACGGACCTTTGACCTCCGCACCGAGTACCAAAGATGGCAGACTCATCACCCCGAGTCTCTCCCTTTCGGTCCCAGTTCCCTTTCCAACATCTGCGCTGCGCTTGAAGTCGAACCTGTACAGTCCTCCGCTCCGATCAAGCATAACCTCCCGTTCCACCTTCAGGCATTGGCCCCCGCCTCTCCTCGCCGGGCAATGGAGGAGGCCATCACTTTGGCTCGCGTTCTCCGCGGCTTGATTCGCAAGTCGCAGCCGCCGCACGAGCACCCGGAGATCTTGACTCGGCCCATGGATGCCAGAGCGGATGTTCGTGCCTTTTTGACAGAGCGCAGCAAGGTTCTCCATCTGAGCGGTCTGCCTCACGATACTACACAGTCGGAATTGGAAAGCTGGTTCACCCAGTTCGGTGGTCGTCCGATCGCTTTCTGGACTCTCCGGACGCCAGATCAACATAAGCCCACTGGCACGGGCTTCGCCGTTTTTTCATCCCACGAGGAGGTATGTATTCTTCAGCTTCTCCCTCTTATCTTTTGCATGATCCTTACACTGCATGGTAGGCTGCTGAAAGCCTCTGTATGAACGGCCGCGCCTTGAACGAGAAGGCCATCGAGGTTTCCCCCTCTTCCAGTCGTGTCCTGGACCGTGCTGCTGAGATCTTGACTCCCTTCCCGCCGTCCAAAAATCGTCCCAGACCCGGCGATTGGACCTGCCCCTCCTGTGGCTTCTCCAACTTCCAGCGCCGTACGGCTTGCTTCCGCTGCTCGTTCCCCGCAATGGCTGCTGCTCCTGACCCGATGGGTTATGGAGCTTACGGCTACGGTCCCCCATCCATGATGCCCTCGCACATGGGCCATGGCCATGGAATGGGCCACCCTCGTGGTATGGGTGGTAATGGTGGTGTGGTTCCCTTCCGTGCTGGCGATTGGAAGTGCGGTTCCGAGGGCTGTGGCTATCACAACTTCGCTAAGAACATCAACTGCTTGCGTTGCGGTGCTCCTCGCTCAGGGGCTGCAGTTGTCGCTGACTCTGCGTTCCCCTCCCCCATGGACCCTCCGGCTGGGTTCGGCATGGGCCCCAACTCCATGACCAGCACCCCTGCTCCTGGTCCCTTTACTTCGGCAGCTGGTGGATTTGGTGGTTTCAACCAGCAATTCGCGGCGCCCCCCAACAACTATACTTTGCCTTCAGGTCTTGGTAGTGCCCCTGGGGCCTATCCACCGATGGGTCAGATGAATGCCGGCTATGGCTCCACCAATGCCTCGCATACCACCTCGTCTTTCTCCAACCCTGCCACCCAGGCTGCTTTCAGTGGAGCTGATCACACCACCTCCACGAGCGCCTCGAATGGCGGATTCTATGCGACAGACGGGTCGAATGATCCCTTTGCCTTCCTTTCAACTGGCTTGGGCGGCTTGACCGTATCTGACGACGCCCACTCCCGTCGTAACGGCACTGGCGCCAGCAAGTCCCCTGCTTAAGTAAAGCGGGCACACCTCTTGGGTAACGACGAGACCACAGATGGTTTCTCATCAGCCCGATTCCCCCTCACCTCAGTGGTTTGTCAATATGAAGGTCTGAGTCTGTTGGTATATGTAACGGTTGATATTCGTTGACTGCGCGTTTGTATAAGGGAATCTGCAGTTCTGGTGCATAGGTTGGGAGGAGCAGGCCGGTAGCGTGTCGTCGTTTCATCCTCGTGTTTGTTTTTGTTAGTCTTTCACATTGTCTCGCAGCCTTTCTGGTCCACCACTTTTCGGCATGTTTTACTATTGCGTCTTTGGAAGCGATGTTTGAGGGTATAGAGAACTGTCTTTGGTACAGCCGAATGGCAGATGGGCAAGGGGCGCTTTTATTCGTCGATTGTCCTCGACTGGTTTTGATCATCATCCTTCAGTTTGGGTCGGTTTGAGCTTCGCGCATTCTTCTCATGGGGCATCTTTCGACGGAGCTTCTTTTGTTCTCCAAGCGCATGACTTCGCTCGAGCATTGCAACCAGTGGTGGACGCTCAAACTTGGCATTGCATTCTAGATATTGCTGTTTCTTCTGCACTCGGAATTACTGGAGAATCATGGTATTGATTACGGATGGGATACAATGGGATGGACTCTCGTTGGGGGTGTTGGGGTATTTCTTCTGCGTCAGCAAAATTTCAACACATTTGGGACACATGTGAGGCACAAAGATCGGGTATTGCGAGTGCAAGAAGATTGTTCTATATGTCTATAATTCCTTTCTTCCCCCTATGTTGTCTTTTGGCCAACATTGTTTACAATATGAAAAAAGTCGATGTTATGCTGTAAACTAACTCTCGAGGATTGCTTTGGCACCAGCCCGCCTGCACGAAAGGTAGAGACACGATGGTCTGGGCTGCTAATCAGCCGTTCCAAGCATTCGCATACTTCCACTATATGTAGAATTCATTATTTCCTGATAGTTAAAAAAAGATAGAATGGCTGTTTAATAAGTTTGGACTGTCATATATCTGTCATGGAAGCTTGGTTGATGTAGCAAATAGCCGCGCGCCAAGCGTCTGGGAGCTCTTGAGGCAACCGCGGGACTCGCGTTCACCTCTATCCCGTCATCACCCAAAGGCCGGAGATATAATCCTCAGCATTCAGCGAACAACGTTACGAGCCATCCACTTACGTCCTTGCCAAACATTTCTATCGCCATTTCTTTCATTTCGTACCTATCTCCTCTAGACGCAGCACTCCTCTCAGCTCACAATGTCGGGATATGACCGAGCTCTTTCAGGTAAGGCAGCTTAGCTACCCTAGCTTCTTGCATCATTGGTCTAGAGGACAGCTTATTCTGACAGAGATATAGTGTTCAGGTATGCTCTGGTATATGTTAGAGCTTTAGAAACAGCTTTCTGACCGTAATAACAGCCCCGACGGGCACGTCTTCCAGGTGGAATATGCCATGGAAGCTGTGAAGCGAGGTATGCCAATCTGTCTTCTGAAGCTCCCAACGTGATACTGGTCAAACCCACGCTGACCCATCTCTGTGCTGAACAGGAACCTGCGCCGTCGGAGTAAAAGGCAAAGATGTTGTCGTCCTGGGCTGCGAGAAGCGGTCTGCCCTCAAGCTTCAAGATACCCGCATCACACCGTCAAAGATTGCATCGCTGGACAACCACGCCGTTCTCGCTTTTGCCGGACTGAACGCCGACGCGCGTATTCTCATTGACAAGGCCAGATTAGAAGCCCAGTCGCACAGACTGACCGTCGAGGACCCCGTTACCATCGAATACATTACCAAATACATTGCTAGTGTGCAGCAACGGTACACGCAGAGCGGCGGTGTCCGGCCTTTCGGTATCAGTACTCTGGTTGTGGGATTCGATCCCAATGATAAGGTGCCTCGACTATACATGACCGAGCCTTCGGGGATCTACTCTGCTTGGTAGGTGGCTTCTTGGCTTGAGGCGAGTGACATGGTTGGGCTAGGAACCTTGCTGACTTGGACACCTACTCTACAGGAAAGCAAATGCTATTGGTCGTTCTAGCAAGACGGTGCGCGAGTTTCTTGAGCGGAATCATCAGGACGATATGGACCGGGAACAGACGATCCAGCTTACCATTAAGTCGCTGCTGGAGGTTGTGCAGACCGGCGCCAAGAACATCGAGGTGGCCATCATGGCTCCCGGCAAGACGATTGAGATGTTGCCTGACGACCAGATCGAGGCCTACGTCAAGAGCATAGAGACGGAGAAGCAAGAGGAGGCTGCGAAGAAGAAGACTGGACGGACTGGGACCACAACGGCGGCCATCCTGACGCGGCCCGGCGGCGGAGAGACTGGGGAGTCGACCCGGGAGTCGGCTGACTGAGATTCCACACGGGACACGTGCAACTACGAGACCTGACTACAACTTTTCTCCTTTGGAATTCATGAGACTTGCGCAGCGTCATGCCCCTGAAGAAATGTGCACTATACTGTAGAACCAACGAGCGTGCAACAGGTAGTCTATGGTGAATCTGTTTGGATGGGGAGATATGCAAGCATTAGATCATAATTTTCGTAAACCATCGTGATCGATCCAACTCAGCCTAGCCGATCTGATATATCCTTGAAACTGAATATCGACTTTTCCTTGTGTTCCCGTACACGGTCGTCCTTGATCATTCTAAAGCGTGAAAGTCAGCACCATCCCATGGACCGCATACAACACTCTTTCAAAGGCAGCACCCAGATGAAATAAACGTACCTAGAATCAATCCGAGCGTCGTCACCCTCAACCTGCAACGCGGCCTTGGGCGTCACAGCGTCGATCACAAAGTGGTTATCGCAGTGCGGGCAGTACTCGTCGCTACCGTAGTTATCAGCACCTGACATCCTCGCCTGAGAGCCCTCGGAGTCACAAGCGCACTCTCCGAGCACCCTGGGCCATTGAGCTTGAACGCACCTCTCATCGAACTCCGTCGCGTCCTTCCGGAAACACTTCTTGCACTTTTTACAGGCGAATATCTGGGGATAACGGTTTAGAGGCTGATTTTGCGGGTAGCGGGGGTTGTGGGAATACCATTTCGGTGGATTTGGTGAGCGGGTGGGTTTCTTGTTCAAGGTGGCATTCGGCGCAGTCGAACCATTTTCGGCCTGGAAGGATGAGGATGGTGAGTACTGAGGATAGCTCTGGGTTTGCGAATGCGTGTGCTGAGGTGTGGCTTACAGCAGGGAGAGCGGATGGCTACTTGGGCGTTGAGGACGTGTTTGCTGTGCGGTGGTTAGAGCGAGTATACGGAGGTGGTGATCGGAATGGGACGTACCACATTGTGAATAGTGAATGAGGGTGATATGTATGGAATGGGAGTGAGGATTGTATATCTATACTCTTCTCCGTTGAGAGGCTGACTAGATAATTGATAGAGATTAAAAGAAAGGAAGCTAAAAATTAAAGGCCACCGTCTTGGCTGATAGTATCAACATAAGGAGTATGGACGGAGGTACTGTCAGTCATGGATCGGATCCCAATTGTTAGGTTATCGTGGCTATCAATATGGATTGATATTGAGGAGAGATAGATCTTCATTCCCTTCCTTTTCATCTCTGACCTTTTCCGTCTACTGCTCTGCTTTCCTTCATTTATGCTCCCCCTCTCTGCTCCTCAAACCCCCCACTTGTTAATCGTCATCCCTTTGACTCTCCACACGCTTTTGCACCGCCCCCTGTCCCCTGGTCGATCTTCATCCTCACCTTTTTCCCGAGTGCTCATCTCCAGCTACTATCTAAGTATAACTCCAGCTGCGGCTCAAGATCTCCGTCAGATGATTTCTGGACGGTCATTTCTCCTGCTCAGTTTTCTTTCTCGATCCGTTCTCGCTCATTTATACCCAACGACCTGCACCTGACTTCTTGACCTCCCCGCCACAATATTTACTTCGAGTTTCTTCTCGGCTACTTGTCCCGACTCTCGATACCGAACGTCGACATAAAATAAACTACACCAGACGCAAGGTTCGAGGTTCGACAAAGGCCTATGATTCATATCTCCCCGCCATTCCTGCGCGCAATCTCTCGTTGTGGTCATGGAGGGGAGCGGCAAGGACAAGGACGGCACGGATAATGCTCCCATTGTATGATTTGCGCTTCCTGTGCGAGTGTATGAGCATGCTTTACTGATCCTGAAAATTTCCCCAGAGGCCGGTTTCCTCCCTTCTGTCACATTTCGAGAACCTGTCCCATCGCCGATTACCTTCCGCCTTTACAGCTACTAGTCCGCATGATTCGACTCCCTTCCTGAGGACGCCCGAACCTGTCGACGAGGTGCGCTCCGCGCGCGCTTCTCTCGACCTTCCTCGGTCTCAATCCCCATGGAATGCGACGGTAAAGCCTCAGAACGGCCACCGGTACGATCGGGCAAATGGCGGATTCTCACGGCGAAGCGGCTCCCCGGAAATATCTCCAGGCAGAAGGCAGAGTAGACCCATGTCGATGAACTTCCACTCGTCGCCGCAACTGGCACCGACCTTGACCGTTGACTCGCCGCGATCACCTCCGCGGGGATTTGGATCCCAAAACTACGGTGAGCATACCGTCAACTCCAGGATGTCCCGCAGTCCCCCGGACCACTCTCGGGGTTCATTGCCGCCGCCGAGCAACCGACCGACAACCCCCAATTCCTCGACGTCCCAGCAGCTGCCTGGTCATTTGTCGCCAGCGCATTCCCATTCGGGGAGCTTCATCGGTGAGAGTCCGCCTGATCGAAAGCAAAAAAGCTCTTCGTTGCCTCCCCCCATCGATCGGGCAGAGAAGCCGAAGGTCCCTGCAAAGCCGGCAGCCTTAACTTCCCATGAGGGCGCAACCCTGGCACCCAAATCCGAGAAGACGGCGTCGGAGGATCGGATATCTCCGTTCAGCACGCCACCAGGCAGTCCCGAAAAGTCGTCCGTAAAACCATCATCTTGCGGACGTCCGCAGATGCCACGCTCTCCATCTCGGCCGATGACTGAACCCCCAAGTCGTCAATCGTTCGATGACAGGACCCCCGTGCCGTCTGTGCATGCTATTCGGGATGCGCGCGAGCTTGGGTTTTCACGCAGGAGACCCATCCCGGAACCGACGCGGGACATGAAACCGTTGATGGTACAGGTCCCTCCGCATACGTTGAAGCGGACGGAGCCCTTGTCAGCTGCGCCGCTGTCATCTCGCAGGCTTCAAGCGACCGATACTCCAACCGAGCCTCCGAGCCTTCCGCCACGCCATTCGTCCGTGGCGCGAAGGGGTGGCGCGTCTCCGTCTCGGCCGTCACTTCATCTGGATGGCCCTTCGCATCCTGAAGCATCGCCTAGACCGCAATCATTTCAACTGCCTCCAAGGGAGATCCAGACACCCACGCAAATCCACCGACAGCCGTCGTTCTCCAGGGATGCTAAGCCAGGGCAGGCATCTCCTGTTCCTGAGCGGCAGTTGGCCCGTGCGGACACAGAACTGGATCCAGTGGACGAACCGGCAATCTCGCGGACTGACTATCCTGACGCATCAACAACTAATCGTCGACCGCCTCTTCTTAGAAACGGACCGAGCGAGATCCATACAAGATATGATACTCGTTTGATGGATGTATGCGGCAAGCATGTGTGTACAACAGGTTATTTAACGCGGGTATGGGACCTCACCAACGGAGAACAAATCATGAGTCTCAGCCACGGGGAGACTGTGAAGAGTCTATCGATAGCATTCAAGCCAGGTACCGGCCTGGACGATGAGGGTCAGCGGCTATGGCTGGGCATGAGCACAGGAGAAATCCATGAAGTGGACATCTCCACTCGATCTATTGTAGCAACACGATCCTATCCTTCGCGTCGTGAAGTGATCAAAATCCTCCGACATAAAAAGGAGATGTGGACCCTTGACGACGAGGGACGACTGCTCGTCTGGCCGCCTGACGAGTCTGGGACTCCAAATCTTCAATACAGCTACCATAATCCTTATGACCGTGTCGCCCGGGGACATACATTCTCGTTGGTTGTCGGAGATACTCTATGGCTGGCCACCGGCAAGGAGGTCCACGTATATCAGCCAAACGCACGTGACGATGTCTCATTCAAGGTTCTGAAGAGACCACTGGGCTCGCAGCACACTGGTGATGTCACGTCCGGTACCTATACGACGAGAGAAGGGGGACGTGTGTACCTAGGCCATGCGGATGGCAAGGTTACCGTGTACTCTTCCACAGATTACGCTTGTCTAGCAGTCGTCAATGTAAGCGTTTACAAGATCAACTGCTTAGGCGTGGTCGGTGATTATCTTTGGGCGGCGTATAAGACCGGCATGATCTATGTCTACGACACGAGGACGAACCCATGGATGGTTAAGAAGGATTGGCGAGCGCATGACGGTCCAGTATCTGGCTTCCTACTGGATTCCAGTAGCGTCTGGACCATGAATCGTCTGCAGGTGACCTCGTTAGGAGACGACAACTGCATTCGTCTCTGGGATGGAATGCTGGAGGATGATTGGTTGGGTAAGTTGATATATTCCACGTTAGATGGATGAGAAGTGAAAGCTGACTTCAACAGAAACCCGCATGCAGAGCAGAGACGTAGAATTCTGCAAGTTCCGTGAGATTTCGGCAGTAATTGTGACATGGAATGCTGGGGCGTCTACGCCAGGTACTATCCGCTCTAGCAATTTCATTCAAGAGGCAATCCATCCCGAGAATCCACCCGAGATTTTGGTCTTCGGCTTCCAGGAGCTTGTGGATCTAGAGAATAAGAAAATCACAGCCAGTGAGTATAAGTCTGAGCTGCCTCATTTGTTCATTTTACTAATTCGTCTCTAGAAAGCTTGCTGATGGGAAGCAAGAGGAAAGATGGCGGAGAGAAAGAACATATGAGCCGTCAGTACCGGGTATGGATGGAGCATTTGACTCGCTGTATCAACGACTGCATGCCCCTCGAGGAGTCATATGTCCTTCTTCATTCAGCGAATCTCATTGGTCTCTTTACCTGCGTCTTTGTCAAGCACAAGGAACGACAGAGGATCAAGAACATCGGCGCTGCAGAGGTGAAGCGGGGTATGGGAGGATTGCACGGAAACAAGGTATGTATTTTGAGGGACTGCTCTGGTTTTTGGTTCGATTACTGATTGCGTAGGGTGCCCTGATCCTTCGCTTCATACTGGACGATAGTTCGTTCTGTTTCGTGAATTGCCATTTAGCAGCCKGTCAGTCGCAAACGGCGCACCGCAACAATGATATCGCCGCCATTCTCGAGTCCGAAGTGCTTCCGGTAGAGAACAGCCTTACCACTCGGGCAAACCATTTTGTCAGCGGCGGTGATGGCACGATGATTATGGACCATGAGATTTGCATTCTCAACGGCGATCTTAATTACCGAATCGACTCAATCCCACGGAATGTGATCATCGAGGATATTCGCAATAACAACCTGGCAAAGTTGCTCGAGCGAGACCAACTGCTGGCATCGAGGCGGAAGAACCCCGGCTTCCGACTCCGGTCATTCACGGAGGCACCCATCACGTTCGCGCCCACGTACAAATACGATGTCGGCACCGACGAATACGACTCGAGTGACAAGAAACGGTCCCCTGCGTGGTGCGATCGTGTACTCTACAGAGGGCTAGGTCGGATCAAGCAGTTGGATTACCGACGACACGAGGTCCGAGCTTCCGACCATCGGCCTGTGAGCGCTTCGTTCAAGCTCCGCGTCAAGACTGTGCTACCGCAGGAACGTGCCGCGGTGTGGGAATCATGTCAGCAGGAATTTCAAAAAGAGAAGCGCAGGCTGGCTTCTGAAGCTAGGTAAGCTACCCCACTCTACTGTCTTTCTGTTTCGGCTTTTGCTAACGTGCGTAGCATTGAATACCTGATCAGCGTCCTGGGGACAGATCCTCAGCAAGCACGAGCATTGATTTTAGGCACGGGCACTCAATAAGCCATTGCTCGATATTCGTCTTCTCCACATTTTCTTTTTTGGCATTTCTTCTATGGTGATCGGCTTCTTTGGTACAGGCTAAAGTTGGTCAGGAAAGCGAGGTGCATAAGACGGTCTGCTGCGTCCGCGGTGTTGTTGCTGTGCTGTGCTGTTGTTGTTGTACGACTAATGATTTCACGATAGACATGTATCATGAAGAGAGCCCTGGGTGGTAGATAGATTTACTGCTATGCAGGCAGGTGATTAGACAACTGCATTCTGATTATAATCGTCCATTATACTATTTCATGCAGACATTACCACACCTACAAGAAAGATAACCATAGACATTGGTAATCCTCCCAGCCCTTGACCCCAAGGACAACAGGCAGAATACACGGATTTATCCAGACTTGTAAAGTTTTCCGCAGACATGCATCTCACTTTCTCATTCCAACACGGTATATCGCCCGTGCTCCTCCGCCTTTCATCCCGCCGGAGTATCTGCCATGCAACCGTTACAATATATCCTGAACTAGACACAGCACTAGCCTCCAAAGGCAAAAGCTGAGACAGTATTCTTCAAGAGCAATTGTCCCGGGTCTGGTTGATTGGCTCGTAGACACGATGATCAGCGATGATACCCCTCAGCATCACTTGTCGCGGATGCTTGTTCGGGTGGTCCGATTGCGGGGAATGTTTGCTATATACATGCTCGCGGCGTACCTCTCTGTGTTGTATTCACACTGACAATCAGATCGAGGGGACTTCACTTTACATTTATCTGCAATAAGGGATCAAGTCGATAGATATGACGAAGTTTCTCTCTCTGGCCACTGCTGCAGCAGTGTTAACCCTCGCTCCAGGAAGCAATGCCCTCGTTAGACCGGGCAATGTGGTAAGCTGCTCATGCTCTTCCAACGATTTTACGAACAAGGTCTAAAACTCAGCAGGGGAAACTACCCGCCCTAGGCTGGAACTCGTGGAATGCTTTTGGTTGCAACATTGATGCCGCCAAGATCATGACTGCCGCGAACGAGGTCGTCAAGCTGGGCCTGAAGGACCTGGGATACGAGTATATCAACAGTGAGTTGCCGTTGTCCGACTCCTATGATGATGATGTTGATGTTGACGATGGTAGTCGATGATTGCTGGTCCGTCAAGAGCGGACGGGACGCGAGCACACAGCGCATTATACCCGACCCAGCGAAGTTCCCTAATGGCATCTCCGGCCTAGCAACCCAGATCCATAATCTGGGGCTGAAAGTCGGGATCTACAGCAGTGAGTCAGAGTCACGGCTAACAGACACATCCATGAGCAAGCATCGCTGACGGATGAAGGCGCCGGACTGACGACCTGCGCCGGATACCCTGCCAGTCTGGGACACGAACATATCGACGCCCAGACATTCGCGGAATGGGGCATTGACTGTATGTATTATGTTTTACGTTTCAAGTCCCCTCAGCTAACTAAGCCGCAATCAGACCTGAAGTACGACAACTGCGGCGTCCCCTCGAACTGGACCGACGCGTACAGCTACTGCGTCCCAGACCCGAGCAGCAAATCCACCAACGGGACCTGTCCCGATAACAAGAATCCCGCGCCAGCGGGCTACGACTGGCGCAAGTCGCTGACAGCCGAGCGGTACAGGCGGATGCGCGATGCGTTGGTCAGCGTCGACCGCACGATCCTATACTCGCTGTGCGACTGGGGCCAAGCGGACGTGAACGCCTGGGGCAACGAAACAGGCAACTCCTGGCGCATGTCCGGGGATATCAACCGTAAGCTTCAAAATTCAATCGTACCTGTCTCTTTATCTAACCGATACCATCAGCATCCTGGTCCCGCATCGCCGCAATCGCCAACGAGAACTCCTTCCTGATGAACTATGTTGATTTCTGGGGCCATCCGGACCCGGACATGCTAGAGGTCGGTAACGGCCAGCTCACGCTAGCAGAGAACAGAGCTCACTTTGCGCTCTGGGCGGCGATGAAGTCGCCCTTGATCATCGGGACTGCTGTACGTTTGGCTCTGCAATCAGTCTCATCAAGATAGTGGACATGTACTGACTCGACCGCCAGCTCGACTCCATCGACCAGGCCCATCTCGCCATCCTCTCAAACAAGATTCTGCTAAAGTTCCACCAGGACCCGGTGATCGGCCGTCCTGCGCACCCATACAAATGGGGGTACAATCCTAACTGGACGTTTGACCCTGCTCACCCGGCAGAGTACTGGTCCGGCGCCTCGTCGACGCTGGGTGGCACGTTGGTGCTGATGCTGAATTCGGAAGATACGAAGCAGACGCGTACGGCTGTGTGGAAGGAGGTTCCTGAGCTAAAGGGGCAACGGAGCACTGGATTTCATGTGACGGATGCCTGGACCGGGAAGGATCTGGGTTGTGTGAGAGATCATTACAGTGTGGCATTGGAGAGTCATGATGTGGCCGCGTTGCTTGTGGGCAAGGCATGCTAGATGGTAGAATCTCCTCTAGCAGTATCCCGAGTGTCCATTTGAGGATGTCCAGAGAATAATCGCTTCATCGTCAGTCATTAACTACCCAGTCACTCTAGACTATCATGAAGTGAGTTCGTGTAAGACTTGCACAACAAGCGAACCTTTTCTATCCAACGAATATCGACCCCCAACCGAGTGCAAATGTTAAGTCCCACCCACCTGATGAATAGCATTCCTGCTACGCTATCAATCATACCCAAAACGACACCTAATCCATCCGTCAACGAAGCCGAAAATATTCCGCGATTTGCATCAATTCCGAAGCGATACTCTTCTCATCCTCCACCCACTCGTCAACGAGCTTAGTCGCCAAGTCCCGTGCGGACTCGGGAAACTCCTCGAGAATATGCCTTGGGAAATTGGGATCAAAGTGGCCCCTTTCGCCATGACTATGTAGGGTATCTAATGTAAAATCCACGACTACCTCACGCAAAAGTTGAGGTGATTGAAGTCATTGTATAATCTTCCCTGACGGCACGAGGATATACGGTTGGAAACGATGCTTTTCTGAGAATGTGCGCAAACTTCTGCTTGGCCAGGTACTTCAATCCTGCCGTTGATAGTAATGCAGTTCAATCTTCGCCAGTTTGTCAAGCGCCTGGAATTCTGCCTGGTCTGCCATTGCAAAATCCGCGATAGTTTTAAAGTAATCAAGCCCTGCATTTACAATGATAAAGCAATGAAACAGGGCATTGTATACTGCCGGGTGGATCCAACCTGAAGCTATCCAAATCATACGATATCAGGGATTTGGCGGCTTCGGCCGCTAGTTGGGCCACAAGCTCAGGTCAATTTGTTATATCATAGGCCAGCGGCCAGGATACTCAGTTGGCCGATCAAATCTACACCAAGCTCTTTCTATCGTAACTTGTGCCTCCCAGTTTTGATTAGTGCGCATTTATTTCAATCATGAAGGAAGAAGAAGCGACCCCTACAATGCCGGCGTCTAAGCCGGACGAGGCCTCTGTCGAATCTCAGCTACTATCGTCTAAACAGAAGGAACTGGCTGCAGCAGTCTCCTCGTATGTGGGCTTTCCCGAGCGATTGATGCAAAAAGCGGGATTCTACAAGTATCCATTTCTGTAAGTCCAATCCCATGAGTTACTGCTCTCGCCGATTGACTGTCCCGTAGATTCCTCGTCTATCTTTTTGCATTCCTCTTTGGGTACTACCGCACCTGTCAGCTTGTATGTGCGGCGGATACGTGCTATCTACAGGCCTTGTTTCTGTATTTTCTCTGTTTCTGTTTTCTGGCTTTTCTGGCCCACCGTGGAGCACAGCGAGACGCGATTCTTCGAGATGCCGGAGAGAAATTATTACGCGGCTCGTTGAAGTAGCGGTTGGGCTGCGGCAGCAATCTGCATCCTGAAAAATCATCAGTCAGTCAACAGGAAGGGTTATATGTTGCAGTCAATTGCGAAAGGGAACTTCACAGTGTGTTTACGAGGATACATTTCCACGATATGCCGTGAAGGATGTCCTTCCAAGCCGCCTCGCTTGGCTTCGAAGCAATGGAAACATGCACTAGATGATCGAATCTTTCGAACGTTTGACCGAATTCTTCGACAATGAGGCTGAAAATCAAGTGAATCGTTCCTTTAACGTTTGGACTTATCGAATACGGGTGAGCGATGTACTTCGGGCTCGCCCTCAGACTGTTTGGAACAGATTTCTTTAGTAGATTTATATGATTGTGGCTTCCGCGGAACTGGCGTTGCGATGGAGGATGTCATCTCGTTTCTGCAATTGGTCTTTGCAACGACTTCTGACGGGTCCTCCTCGCCGTTCGTCCCATCCAGAGTGTTAACATTGTCTGAAATGACTGCAGCCATCGTCTAGCTGCTCTCAAGACAGAGAGACGGCTTCAGATTGCAGATTCCGTGTCTAATACCGACTGCTCCGAGAGAGGAAGGAAATCATGGTGAACGATCGTGCCCAGATTGAGATACCAAGATAGAAGATTAAGAAGCGAACAAGGATGAAGTCTATTTCGGTTCCACAAATGGAAGGAGGTTGTCCAACCTTCCGGTACCTCAAGATCAAACCCACGTATTGTAGCAACAGTCCAGAAGAAACTCTGGTCCAAATTGTGATCCAAGAGAAGTGTTTCTGTTGTGAATCGCAGAGACAACCTCGTAGCTCAAGTTCTGTCGCTCGTCTGCTCTGTTTCTGGAAAATGAAGAGAAGAAAACGTGCCATTTATATGAATGCCCACAATCCGATAATTCAGGGTATATCATTATGCCATTACTCCGTATTTGGTCATATATCACTTATATCACACGGCCACACCCCCTTGGAATGATCAGCAGAATCACCGCCATAAGTCTTGCCGACTCTGACGTCTCCAGCCTCCACTACTCTTTGGACGATCGTCATCGACGGGTACGGCGAGGAATCCGCCGAATCCATTTCCGACGAGCACACTCTTCCTTGCGTCTCCTCCCCAAGTCCGACTCAATTGCGCGTCATGGAAGCTCACCGGACGGGTCGTACTCTCCCGCCGGCCGCGCGTCTGAGGCGGCTCGTACGGAGTAAAGTTCCATTCCAGTTCGTCCATGCCTTTGCTGTACACATTGAGAGGCTGCGAAAGGCCGCCAGCAGGGATCTGCGGGCCGTTTTCACCACCTCCGAAGATTCGAGGTGGAGGTGCAAGCAGCAGGGCTTCTGGGAAACTGGCGTCGCGAACATATAAGTCGCGTAAAGCTGGAAGACAGTTTGCCATTAAAGAAGAGATCAGGTAGGTATAGTATGAGGCTGCAACAGGTGGTAGACCATAAGATGCGCTTGAAGAAGTGATCTCATAATGCAGCATTTTGAGCGACGTGGACGCCAACGGTGGTACTTGTTCCGTGGGAAAGGATCTGGATACTTCTTGAATGAAGAAAAGTCCTTGCAGACATGGCGATGAGGCTAGAATTTGATATAGGGTGGATGGAAGCACTCCGGTGGCCGACAAAGTCAGATAATGTAATGATTTGCGATTCACAGGAAGGGAGAAGAACGCGGCAAGCCCGCTTGCCGTGACCTTCGGGGTATCTCGGAGTGTAAGCCGTTGGACGGCTGGAAATGGAGGCAGTGATTGAGAATGTCTGAAAGCGGAATCGTCAAGCCAAGGGAGGTCTTCCAATGTCAATTCACGCAGCTGGGGGAAAGCCCCCAGACCAAAGCGAAGAATGTTTGGCTCAATTTGGAGTCGCGATAACTCCAGGATTTCCAAGTTCATCCACAAACGCGATCCGGGCAACTGCGAGAAGCTTCCCTCGGAGCCATGGCGATAGGCCATGCGGCGTATATCGGGACAACGGGCCATGAGTTCTTGCTTCAGAGCAAGGCATGTCGGGTCATCGCTGTATAGGCCAGCCGGCAAGTCAACGTATCGGAGGTTGGGACACACCGAGATCGTTCGGGCAATGCCAGCCTTGTTTGCTTCACGCGTCATGTATGGCATTCGCAGAGACAAGACCATGTGTCCCAGCTCATGTGAATGTCGCACTGAGCGCATGAATAACTCCAACCTAGCCTGGGGCGCATCAATCGGATCGCCATTGCGGTCAAAGAAAGAACGGCGCTTTCGCCTGGCGGCCAATTGGACTTCGAGTTCGCAGTAGTGGACGGCATCGATGCGGACATGGGAGTACCTGTGTATTGAGATCCATATGAGTGGGGAAAACAAACAACACAAGACAAGAGTAGACCAGAGCAGAGAAGCTTACAATACACTTCGAGCAGCCAGATACCACCGCTTGCACACCACAGCACAGTGTGCTAGGTCGCGCATGTCACAGAGCATGCAGCCATCCTCGGTCATGGACTCCTCCGAAGTCGCATAGCTGTTGTCCGCTGCATGGGGACAAACAAAAGCAAAGATTTGCGCCAGAACCGGAGGAGGAAGTATCTTGGTGTAGTCTCGCCTTAACGTGGGAACTGGGGGAACACTGTGATCGGGAGAGATGCGGAGATGTTCATAGCTGGCCGCATTCCCCGCACGGCTATGGCTCTTGGAACGCCGTCTAAGCCGGTTAAACAAGCCCATAATGATTATGATATTATTGCTGGAGGCAGTTTGCGGAGTGGGAGAAAGACAACATTGATAAGGATTGTTGAGTTAGAGGATCACCAAGGGGGGGCGAGGTTTGAAGAGTGATCAACTGGAAATTAAATAAAGATGAAGGAGGGGGGAGGACCGGAGGGATCATCAAACTAGAGCTATAAGCGAGGCTGCGACAGACAGTCCGTTATGATTGGGACATGCACTTGTCTTAGTGAGTTGGATTATTGGACGACCTGGGAGTTTTGGACAGTTGGAAAGCAGAGAAACAGATAGCCTTTTTTGATGCCTTTATCCGTCCAAATTTGGGTTCAGTTTCCAATTGAGTTTCGACCACGGAGTAGAAAACGGCAAACGAATAGTAGGATCCTCGTTTTTTGACGGCTGGAAGTGTGATAATGTAATTGATTGGGACCAAGAACGATGGACACGCGCCGGAGGCTTCTTTGTCGTTGGTCTTGGCTATTTGGCTGCTCTTGAATGGAGGAATGAAGGATTGTGATATTCCTCTTTGGGCTTGTCTATTTTTATCGATCCTATCAACAGGTCGCTATCCTAATAGTACATTTGTCGCGCATGAGTATTCCAACGTCCATGTCAATTATTAGCTGTCAAGTGTTTGACATGCACAGAGCTATCCAGCAGTTCTTTCAAAGTCTTGAATAGAAGTTCAAAAGTGATGCCGATTGCCAAGCTAGGAGCTTTGTACGAAACGCGGGCGGGTGTTTCATGTTGGCAGTCAGAACTGGCCGATCAGACTTAAACCAGTGGGGTTGTAAATGAACGACGTTTCAGCCTTTGAACCTGTTCTTTCCGAAGTAGCCAGTCATAGTCTATGTTATCCAAGCTAATCCAGTCGTTCTTTGATTAATTAATAATTGTACTAAATAATAATTGAGCTGGTGATCAGTGCATCATTTTGTGAGCACGTGAGCAACAACTGGGTCTTGATAATCGTCCTGTTGGGTATGGAGTACTCGTACCAATATCCTCGCGAAAGTGTTGAAAGGTCGCAGGAGTACCAATATCAAAACCATTGATCGATATCACTAATTAGTTATGGCTGCTACTTCTATCACCAACTTAACTCCTGTGCTCAAGTGGAGGGCCGTCTCCAGTTGGCCAGACTCTCGTATGAGGTCAGATTGGGTTTGAATCTGCAGGAAATCAAGAAACTTTCTATTCGATTCTGGGGAAGCTTGATGATAAGGTTATATCCATGGAAGTTCCTGATATCTTCAGCCGTCAATCAGGGAAGTCAAGGCATGTCTATCCAGTATCGATTTTGCCTGACATCGTCATGATGTCATGGCATCATGATTGAATACATTCAAGAAATGGGATGAAATATCTATTGTCCATGGTATATAAGCAAGATTCAACAGAGTCGCATCGAAGCTGTGACTCCAGAGTGCGCATTGTTCTCTCTTGAAAATATTCATCTTCATGCTCTGCACAAGGTTCGCAACCGCTCGTTGTGCTATCAACTGGTCATTCTCTGCTGCAATTCGCCCAGCGAAGCATCAACAGACAATCAAGCGGGTTTACCTGACCAAAACTGCTCAAACCGCGTCAATATATCGTTGTCAGCTCAGGCGATTTTCAAACACAGCAGAAGACATGCCAGCTAAGGGATCGTCGCTCCCCAAACCCAATGCCTCCAACGCGCCATCTGAGCGCCCCATGGAGAATGAGGAATGGAAGCAGCGTCCTCCGTATCTGATTCAAACCCCTGAAGAATTCGGTCAGGTGAAGTGGCGAGCCAAATGCCAGTGTGGTCAAGTCACCTATAAGATTAGTCGAGACAAGCCGCTCAAGGCCAAGTACTGTCATTGTCGAGGTTGCCAAGTCATGCACGGTGAGTAGACCATGGCATATAGTCCATGCGATGTCCAAGACGTTGAGAGATACTGACCTATTTGCAGGAGCTCCTTTCCAATGGGCTGCAATTTTTCACAAGTCTGATTTGACATTCGACAAGGGAGCCCATGGTCTCTCGTTCTATTCTTCCGCTCACAGTACGAGAGAATACGAGGTCCCAACAAAAGTATCATGTTCATTCTGTCGGACCCCCATCATGGATGAAGGACGAAATGTATGCCTCATCTTCCCGGAAGCCATTGTCGCCGGTGATTCCGACGAGGAGCGCCAGAAGTGGAGGGAGGCTTTCGCACCTGAGTATGTCATCATTTCTCAACAATTGCCATCGCAAATTCCTGGCTAACTTTATCACGTAGTTGTCACATTTTCTACGACAAACGTTGCATAGAAATTCTAGATGGCAAAACTAAGTGGTCAGGGATGGATGAGGAGAGTGAGCTCGTGGACGACTATGGTAACAAGAAGTCAGAATGAGCGTACATATTGCATATTTCAATCTCTGTACTGGTCTACTCATAAATGTTTCCTGAATGATATCTTCAACATAACTCATCTCTGTTCTATACATTCATTCCCGCGGTCTGCCTATACTAGAGCACGGAAGCCAATGAAAGCCATTATTCAGAGCATGTTCCCCTAAGAACATAAAGCTAATTACCGATTTATGTTAGCGGAAGACTAGTTGTCACAGTATCACTCGGGGCCCTGGACCGCATTGGGAAACTCGTCCTAGAAACGGCCCCCATTTGAGCTTGTGATCGACGGGGTCACTGATCATTCGGCTTCGGCTTCTCACTTGTGACAACTATGCATGACGGGTCGTTCTGATTACCTCCGACTGTCATCAATCACCCAATCTCATCACTTGGTTCCTGGGAAGCTTCTCATTAAAGAAACTAGTTTCTTCGAATATTGACACCTTGAAATGTAACGCGAGCCGTTCAATCTGCGGTCATCAACACAATGTTACCTTATCATATGAGCTCTAGTCCTCACCAGGATCTGTTCCTAATGACATTCATTTGCGAGGATTTAAGAGACGAGACTCCCTCAGCACAAGGTAGATTTGATGTATACTCCTCATCCTGGACAGCAACTGTGAACTACTACTAAACAACTTGTAACCTACTATGTGGTCAAAGCTTCATTTCATGAGTCTTGCTGCACTGACTGCCAGGTTGGCATCAGCAGTCACCCAAATCACAGACAATGAGATGAGCAATCTTCTGAGTCAAGGAGGCGTTGAACTGGCGGATCGTTACGCCCCGCTGTGGTTTTTCGGTCAAGCCCAGGATCAGCCTCCATGCTATCCTACATGGGCTTTTGGGGGCTCTCCCACATCGTCTGATATCTACGACGACGCTCACAAAACACCAGCCGCGCCACAGTGTGAGTATCCCGATGTCGGATGCAAATGCCGCAACCCCGGCGTGGGGATCGGTAACCGCGGACCGGCGTTCCCAATATACTTCACCTACAAGAGGTGTAATGACACCGAAGTGCGGGTGGTGTATAACCTGTTCTACGAGAAGGATGGTGCTGAGGTCATCGGTATCGAAACTGGTCATGATTAGTGAGTATACTGAATTTGGGAGACGATCAATCGGAGGAGCTAATCGGTGTCTAGTGACTGGGAGAGAGTGATCATCATCCACTCGAGAGACGCAAACAACATGTGGGCGCCGTCCCGTGCCCTTCTCTCTGCGCACAGCGGCTACCACAACCTTGCATGGGGAGATATCCAGAACACGCTTACCACCGACGAGATCAACGCCGGGGACGCCAAAACTCCCAACGGTGTGAAGAACAATGACCATCCAAAGGTCTATGTTTCCTGGTCCAAGCATGCGCACTTTGATACCCGCAATACCGGCTGGAACGATCCCATCAGCCAGTCAACAGATAATGCCTTTCGCAGTGATGACTGGTGGTATTATGTTGACAAGAGCTACTATGTGAGTTCTTCATCTGTTTCTTCCATGGCAGTTCAAATTTTGTTGACAAGCATTAGATTCTGTCGGACGATACCACAGCTGCTGGCCAAGCCCTCGGGTCAGCGAACTGGGGCACTGGTGCAACTAGTAACCCTCCTTCTGTGCAGGCAAGTGTGTGCTCTGCGTCTTGATGATAGTAAAGGAGTCTGCACGAGATTGGCAACTAGGTTGAATTTATCGAGACTCCCAACTCCATCTGTGCACAGTCAGTCTTTTTGGGAGTATAGACATCAATGCATTATTGTTGTAATATGCGAAATGAGCAATAAACATCGACAATACCTACCTAGCTGTGGGAGGGGAGGGTCAACCCCGTAATATAACTTTTGCCGAATGACGTCGATGCCCAAAGCACCGAACCCCACCGCCGCAACTCGCCAGACAAACCAGTTGACTCCAGCAAACTGTATAAAGCACTATTCAAACTCATACTCCAAACGTAGGTCAATTGAATCCAAAACTCATCTATCGTCTTATTCCTCGTTATCAATTAAAACCTACCACCCATTTCACCCTTCTCACTCAACCCCGCAACACCATCCCACCAACCAGAAATCCATCAACTAACAGCATCAACCACCAGCTCCAACTCCAATCCGCAAAGATGTCCTGGTTCCAAAAAACCTTCACCCTCCCCCCTCGCTCCCGTGGCTCCTACCTCATAACTGACGAAGTCCTCTCCCAACTCCCCGAAATCCGCAACTACAAAGTCGGCATGCTCAACCTGTTCGTGCAGCACACCAGCTGCGCGCTCTCGCTGAACGAGAACTGGGACGAGGATGTGCGCGCCGATATGAGTGACGCGCTGGACCGGATTGCGCCGATGGATCGGAAGGGGAATCTCTATCGGCATTCGGCTGAGGGGGAGGATGATATGCCGGTATGTTATTTGTCGCTTCTGTCGTTTGTGAATTACGTTGTTGGGATGGAGAATGGGGGCTGATGAATGGGGCAGGCTCATATCAAGTCCGCCCTTGTCGGCGCGTCGGTCAATATCCCCATCTCGAATGGGAGGTTGGCGACGGGTACGTGGCAGGGGATTTGGTATTTGGAGTTTCGGACGAGTCGGCACACGCGCAAGGTTGTTGCGACGATTCAGGGTGAGAAGGCGTGACTCGGTGGAGGAGAGGGTGGTGGTCGGGGGTGTCTGTGATTGCTTTCGGAGCTGATCTTATGCGACGATGAGCTGCTAGTGACAGCCTACGAAAGTCAATGAGCTTATTTGGATGTAGCGGGCTCAGTTGACAGCATGGACGCAACGTTAGCCGTGAAAATGTCTTTGTTAAAGTATATGAATGCTTGGTGTACATATCATAGCCGCAGATAAATCAAGCAGTGTATGATCCAGGCTTATGCCCATCACCCTAAACGGAGAAGAACTTGAATCTAGCAGTTCATTGATCTGGTACAAGTCTGTACATGAGCCCGGCAAGGCTAAAGAATATCAAAACAATTCATCAACGCCAACAATGAAAACAACCATTCTTCTACCGCTGTTCGAATGCACCTTCAGTAACACGTTGCGTCTCGTTCGCCTCAGCGGCGTCACCGGTGGGTTCGAGGGGGTAGCTGGTAGCGGGGAGAGACTTGAGGTATGCACGGTGCTGCTCGTGGGCCTATAGATCATTGGTCAGCGGGTCCCTGCTCCAAATACACAGGAAGAACTCACAAAAGGAAGACCGCAGTAGCCGCAGGTAGCAATCTCGGGCTTGTCAGTGTTAATGAAGACACGGGGGTGACCCAATGGGCCGCCGCCGCCGTCACAGCTGACGATTCTCTTGTTGGTCCAGCGCACGGGCTGCTTGTGGATAAGTTCGATGGCGGCCAAGGGTTGAGGCTAGAGTAATCCATGTTAGATATACACGTCATGCGTTAACACTCCAATGAGTCCCTTCCAAAAAGTTTGTTACACACCTGAAGCTCCATAATGGTCTGCTCAAAGCGAGGACCGGTCATAGCCTTTTCCCGAGGCTGCTGGCTAGCTGCCCATGTAGTGGCACGGTTGGGGGCCTGAAGCTGGCGGTTACGCTCGCCGGCCTCGAGGTCCTCGCGCAGGGGAGCATCCCATACACCCTGTGAGTCGGTAGGGGTAGCATTGGTGGCAGAGACATTGGGCTTGGGAGTTTGCGGGGTCGGGTCGTTGGCTTGCATGCGGTTCTCTGTCAGGCGAGGCACGGTTGTCGAGTAGCTGGCCCGGGCAACGAAGCGGGGAGTCCACGCCGTGGAAAAGGCCGCGACGCGGCTTCGAGCACAGGACAACATGCTGGGCAATCGGGGTCCCTGGTGGCACAAAGGAAAGGTGTGTTTTGGGCGGCGGAGGGCGGAGGTTGTAGTCGGGATGAAGGGTGAGGTTTGCGGGAGCTCGCGCGGCCGCTTGTTTGACCAATGGGAGCCGCCCCTGCGGCTGTTACGGCGAAATTCTGCCGCTCGCAATGAAATAATTTCTTGCCTGTTTCGGTCACTGTTTTTAATGTCGTCGTTGTTTCCGTTTGAAAAGGTCTCACTCGTCAAGCCAGAGTCAGGAATTGAATCAAGTATCACCTGCTCAAGGTTGGGTTCTGATCCACGACTTGTTTGTCTACGTTATTTGCGTCCTCCTTCTTCATTTAAGAAGCGTCATCATGCCTCAATCTACGTCTGGCTCTAAGCCAGAAAAAACCATGTCGTCACGTTTACTAACTATGAAGGTGTGCCAAAACCAATGTCCTCTGCAGTTTGTTTCTCGACTCGGCTGACCAAATGTGTGCAGTTCATGCAACGAGCTGCTGCCACCGCTGCAAGTAAAGAAGTACCCCAAACTTCCGAAGAGTCCACCACTTCAACACCGAAGCGACCGAGACTTTCCAGCGAAGGCGTATCACAGAGTCCCGGTGCAACACCATCGTCAGATTTAGAAGCTATCTCGGCTGCTCTCGCGGCCGAGGAAGAGAAGCGAAGGGAAGCCATCGCCAGGCAAGCTGCAGATGCTGGCGAAACCGAATGGGTGCTCGACTACTCTGGCGCGGAAGATACGGGCAATGAGTACGCAGCACAACCTCTTGTCATCGCGGCGGACTCTCTGGATGCGGACGACGACGATCTAGCCTACGGTGGTCGACAGGCTTATGGAAACTTCAAGCGCAAAAACAAAGTCGAGGTTTGTGATTGTCTTCGGTATACTACGAGTATATGTAGCTGACAGTGCCATCCATCAGCATTCCGATGCTAGCGCAGACCCGACAGATCCTGAACAGATTAATTCCATGATCAACAAGGCGAAACAAGAGGCCAGACAGAGACCTGTGAAATTGTCTCAGCTAACAAGTATATCTGGAGGTCGTCATAGCTTTGGTGGGGGTGAGAAATCGCAGAAGAAGCGCAAGCATAAATAAACTGGTCAATCGACGATGAATCTCCGGTTTATCTCAAATGGACATGGACTTGCTCAGTGCTGAAGGGTGCGCTAACCATGGCTAAGCGATGTCGAATCTGGCCTTTCCGTCTATACTGCCTCCAATTGTCATGTGTTCAGGAAACAACTCGTTGGCTATGATATGAGGCATACGTTTTTCATGTTAAATGGTCCGCTCGCTGGGTTGGCTTCCTTGCAGATGATGGGTACATCCTCACAGCCGAACGAAGACACGTGAACTTGACCAATAGACTCGAATCTCGAGTCGCCCGAAGCAGTGAAAGGAACGGGACGAATTCCGACTTCCGGTTGCACATCCTCAAGCAATGTTGGCATGATTTCCACAAAATGCGGCGATATTGCGTCGTATGGAGAGCGCCTCGTGAAATGCTCCAAGGCCTCACACCGGCGAGACTGCAATGATGCATGAGCCTCATCTGAGATTGACTTCTGCTTTTCCTTGGGTTAGTGTTGTCTATGCCCAACAGCGATCACCTTACTTGAGCAGTGGGACCTTTGGGGTCACCAATCGATTGAAATACTCTTCGATGGGTTGGAAATAACGCTGCGACGCGCATATCTCCGTCAACGGATCGTTTGATATCCAGGCCCAAGGGGCGCACGCCCTTTGGCATAGCTGAGCGTGTCTTATCGACTCGCAACGTCACTCGAACCTGGCGAGATTGCTCCGTCTCAATGTCTTCCATACTGCTAAAACATGGGCAAGGCATCTTCTGTGGGACTACTTCTGAGTCTCAAATCCGGTTGAACTAGCGTGAAGGCAGCGACGGGTACAATGATGATCTTATAAATTACCAGCATATGTTCTTATATGATGGCCAGCATGATGGCCTTGAAGAAGAGAATAGTTGCACTTGCACCTCCCAATGATCTGTTGTTTGCCAAAGCAAACAAGACAAGCGCATTCAGAAAGATCAGGTCATGTCAATCCGACCTTGGCCTTGTAAGAGACCCGAGCCAAAACATCCAACGAGACTTATTCCTCAAACATGCGTTTGCTCAATCCGAGCTATTTGTATTACAGAGTCTATAGTTACCTCTAGAACGCCGCACAGATCCCCTGGGGCTTGCTTCTAACGCCGCAGCCATTTACAAATCAATAAGTCTGTAGACGAACAGATCGCCTTGTAAATCATAACTTGGCCTTATCTTCCTTCTCTTTCTTCTGCCAGCTCTTTTGCGTCGCAAAATTCACTGCCAGGTTCCAAGCCGCGATGCCTACTCCCAACGGCGGTGCCAGCAACAGAACCCACGCCCACCACTTCGGGCTTGATGCCTTAATCGTCTCCATCGCCTTACTGACCTCCCTCTCCAAGTCTGCCTTATCCCCATCATTCCACACAATAACCCCCCTCGCCGACCCAGTCCCCCGAAACTCCGCCTTCTCGACCTTCCCACGCACATCCCCCTGACTCCTCACCCTATTCTCCGCATCCTCAGCCGATAAATGCGGATCCCGCGCACGCAGCCGCGCCATCTGCACCGCCGGATCCCTCACGCCCACAACCACCACCGTCCCACAGATCAAATCCATCCCGCTCTCAAACAACAGCGGCACATCAAGCACAACGGCCCAGTGGCCATGCACATAGTAGTACATAAGCGCCTTGTAGATCTCCCACCGCACCGCGGGGTGCACGATCTTGTTGAGGATCATGCGGTCGCGCTTGCGCTCCTCGCTGGTCCCGAACACGCGCCGGCCGAGCGCCGGCCGGTTCAGCGGTCGGTGTGAACCCGTTGGATCATCGTCTGAAGCTGGGAGGAGGAGGTCCGGCGTGCTGGGGCCGAAGTAGTTGACTATTGCTTTGTAGGCTGGGGTGCCTGGTTCGACGACCTGGCGGGCGAGAAGGTCTGCGTCGATGATGGGGAGGGAGTACGGTGGTGAGGAGAGGAGGGTTGAGACGGTTGATTTGCCGGTTGCGATGGAGCCGGTTAGGCCGATTATGAGCATTTTGGGGTGTTTGTCTTTGGTGTTCCGGTAGACAGAGGGAGAGGTTGTACTCTGGAGGAGGTGAGGTGGGTCGACGTGGGATAAACCTATTGTCTATAGATCGGATTGGGGCTCATGAGTTGTTGAATTAATTGAGCATGTAGGTCGTTAGGATGCTGATGTTACGAACGATGACGTTGAATGTTTACGAAGAGGAGGAGTTGGAGGTGCTTTCGGGATGCGGGGACTGCCGTCAACCTCGGCCAAACTATGACACGGATGGAGAGATATGAAGCTGCTGGCTATCATGTTTACGATTGAGCTTGGTAGGAAAAGTCCACTGATATTTGACTGTATATGTCTATCATAAGAGTAAATAGGTATCTTCGAGAAGGATATTACAAAACTATCATCATACTTTTCGTGAGGCTGCACAGGTTCGTACAGAGCAGCCTACGTGGTTCGGGCAACTGAAGGCGTCAAGAGATCGAGACACCAAACTTCTCTCAGGTCGATCGTATCTGTGACGACAAATCCAGCCCTTGAAGATGATGTACCGGAGCAGGGCCATGTCAATTAAGTTCCCCTAGAAGCTCGAGGGCGTTCCATTGGTTGACTTAGACTGGCACGTCCCTTGAGCCAGCTTGCAATACAACCAGAGTGAACCAAAGTCAAGCTGTATCTCTCAGTGGGTGCAGCAATTCCACTCGCCGGCCATGGCATGTACGGCGAAGTCTGCTTCTCAAGAGAACAGGTACTCGACACAGGTCCGGGGCTAACTCAGATGAGCAATAGCAAATCTTCAGCTTAGCTCTCTGGAAGTCCTGTGCTGGGATCTTGCTGCTGGCCCTTCCAACCAATGTAGGGCCAACCCTGTGGAAGAGTTGAGTAGGGCGGCAGCACATAGCGCCCAGCGCATTCCCTTTCATTTGGGCATGTCAGATCGCATAAACCGAACACCTTGCAATAGCATTCTTCCGCCGTGGGGCAGTACACTGGTCCCTGGCCAAAGATCACTGATAGTTGTTAGAACCGCGTCTTATTTAAGGATACTGTGATGCAGGAGTCGGAAAACCTACTATGCCATGAGTACTCCATAATCCGTCCGCTTAGATCATCCTTGAGGGGTGTCTCGGACAACCATTTCCTGAACCGCTCATAGTCACTCTTGGGCCTTTCACGGACCTTCCAGCTTGTGACTCCGAACTGCGCGCAGCATGACACTCCAACCTCGTCCGGTACGTCGACACCAGGAAACAGCTCCATGAAGCCATTTTTGAAATACTCCCCCGCATGCACGTCGTCACGGTGCGTATCGGTGTGCGGGTGGATCTCCGCCGGACATCCGAGAGTCCAAGCACAGCGCATATTGGCATAGCCTTGCTTTTGGAGATAAGGCACTTGGAAACGACGGATCATAGGAACTCCATCGTAGTAGGGATCGTCGTTGTGCCATTGATAGCGCTGCGAGTGGATGAAAAGCATCACGTCGGGCAGACGGTCATAATTATCAATTATGTATCTGCCATCTGCTATCAGTACTAACCCTCACACAATAAGGTAACAGGCCAAAGCAAAGCACATACGTCAAATATACCATAGACTCCCGCCCTTTGTTGTGCGCCACGGTCAATTCCGCATTCTTATCGTCGACCACGTAGATACTCTTATGCCAGTCGGGGAAATTCTCGAACAACCATGACGTATTATCACTCTTCATGCTCGCGACCACCATATCTCTCTCGATTCTCTTGCTGTCGTGCGACGGAGATGCTTGCCCCGAACGCGAGTCCCGGTGCGCCCCTTCATCGTGTACCGCATTATGAACCGAGACCGCTGATTCTCGGTCTCCGGAACTTTTCGCAAAGAACACAAAGTATAGAGCGTAGACGATAAGAATTGTGACGAGGATCGCCTTTTCCTTATTGCGACGGCGCGGGCTCTGAACTCCGCCGCCGAAGAAGAGCATGGTTGCAGACGTAGGCGAGAGCCACTGAGAGGGGGGCTTTAGGGCAATTCCGCTATTACTGATCACAGAAAGAGCATCAGCAGCATGGAGCAGCGACCATCGCGGCGTGCTGAAGAAATGTTGAGAATGTGCAGAGTCAGCTGCCCGGAGTTGTTGGACAGGGTTCGAGGGTGGATTCAATTGCGTAAAGACATTCAAAAGGAATGGGCGCTACTGGTCGTTAATCATGAGAGAATTAATATTAGATTCGAGCAAATGAGCACTCAGTAAGAACGCATTCCGTCGAGCCAGCTTTCACCGGCCGATGATCAGCTCGAGTGGACGAAGCTGGGGATAAACTCCAGGTGTCCAAGTCCAAACCAAACAAACTTCCCCATAACCACACATGTCCACTATGTGGATCTTGAGTTCTGTACTCCGTACAGTTCAATTCTACCAATCGACATTATAATGAGGACAACTCCATTATTAGAAACTGGTTGCGTTGAAAAATAATCATCAATGTCATTCCTCATTCATGAGCCCAAGCCTAAGCTACCCTGGCACTTTTGTACTATGCAAAAGTTGTTTATATACTGCGCTTATTGACAACCATCAATATCGACGATATACCAGTTATGGGCTGGAACGCTGGTAGAACCCTGTCCCGCGTTCCCACCGGTTGAGTCGATTCCCTGGACGACCGTGACATCAGACGTCGTGACAGTCACGGCGTCGCCGCTCGTGATCCAGTACTCAGGGCTAGTGTGGCTGAAGCCAAAGGCTCGGGGCGGGAGTCTGGGGACAATATCGTTTGTGTGTGTGACACGGTAATTGGAACCCTGTCCGGTAATGAATGTGGCCAAGGCCGTGTTTCCAACACGGGGCGATCCGTAATTATACTTCACAAATCAATTAGTCCATTTACGCCCTTACAGAAGTTGACAAGGGGTGACTTACCAGCTGTACGGAAATTCCTGCTTTCCGCAACGTAGCAGCCCCCAGCGTTGCAAGAGCAGCGCCAAAGCTGTGTCCGGTAAAAACGATAGTATAGCCAGGGTAAGCTGCAATGGCAGAATTGAGCTCGGTCGTCAGCGCATTGGCAACGACTTCCCAGGACTTCCAAAATCCCGTATGTACCGAGCATCCGCTGCAAAGATCACTACTCTCCAGACCGAAGTCCAGATTCGCAATCCAGGTTTGTATCGTGCGACTTCCTCTGAAAGAGACCACAAGGAGCTTGTTTGTGGTGTCTGCAACCAAGAAGCCTGCCACGTCTCCAAACGAGGAGGAACTACCAGCTCTGTTAGATATGCAAGCTACTCATGCATGGGATCGACCTACTCGTCGAACTCCGAAAGGGTCTTGGTGTTGGCTGCCTCAACCAGCGGGCAGTTCCCAGCAGAGCACGTCAGCTTGGTGCCCGTGGAATTGATGTTGTTGGAGCAATAAGCGGCAGCAGAGTATTGCGCAAACAATGACAACTCCTGCAGCACCGACGATGACACAGCTACCTAATAGTTAGCACCACACAGAGCTCAATCTGTAGGAAGCGTCCGACATACCTCGCTCTGCCAACCTTGCTGGCGCCGCAGCACCCAGCGCAGCAAACGCCGCAACAGCCAGCGTACAGACAGACTTGAACTGAACCATTATGCCGAACTAATACTCAAGACAACCTTTTCAGAGTAATGTAGGCAGACTCTGCGCGATAAGCCCCCAGAAGACGAGGCGACACCTGGATGCCCATCCTCAGCGATCCGAAGGAATGCGGAGAATTTATACTCTGCCAGAGCCCACATAACGACTCATAGCCGTACTCTCCACTCTCCAATGCTATCCCACCTTGCTTGTCAGCTGAGGGCATTCCTTGCGGACAATCCAGGGCGGGGTAGGCCCAGTCAGCCGTCAATCTACCGGCCTCATTGTAAAGATGGCGCGGCGCTTCTCTCGGGCAATCTGACAAATTCCTGGTGAGTCCTCCGTTCCTCGCTGACTCAAATAGGATGTTGGCCCGTCGCCAACCATGGAAAAACAGAAAGTAGTATCTACTAGATACATCCGTATGCCCATGGGTGCTAAAGTAACTCCGTAGCGTGTGATGTACCCCACTAATGCCGGGATAGTCCCCGCAATCTGCAGAAGCCCCAGTTGTTCTAAAGACTAGAAAGGTGTGAAGAACGCGAAGATCAGTAAACCAGGCTTGAGAATGTGGACCTGATTGGTCGAATTGTGGTTTTCCAAGGAACATAGTCCATTCCGGCAAATCAATCAATAAACTCCGTGTCTGGCACTTTAGCGGTGACGAGTGACGAGAAAGATGGCTGGCGGCTAGTGAGGAATGGCTCACGCCAAGTTCCGGGCCAAATCATCCTACTCCGTGAGACTGAGGAATCATGCCGGCGGTGTGAATGGTCGATTGCATGAGATAGCAACTGAATGGTGGAAGATTTCTCGTTGCTTGCTCTGACGCAGGGGAAGGGCCAACCATATGGATTGTCCTAAACGAGGTGTCGTCACGGAGCATGCACGGCGCAGACTGAGCCTTGCTGTCTAAAGTAAATAGCGTTGGCATTTATATTCCAGCAGACCTCATGACCATGTACAAGCCGTGAAGCACATGAAGMCGAGTCTCGAGATAATTGACTTGCCGCGTATATGCAATGCAACACTATGCCGTCCAGCCTTGACCACTACGTAGTGAGGTACTTTCCACGTGGTACTAGAGCGTACAAGGCGACTTAGCCGAAGCTTCTCTGGGATCCCATCCAGCTTTCCACCTATACTTGACTGACAAGCCTGATTTTGACTTCTAAGGGACACCTCAAACCCAAACAATTGTTGCTCGAGATGCGAAGTATCCATAATACCCAGGGAAGTAAAGAAAGAGGAAAAAAGAAAAGCATACATTCGCTCCTTGGAACGCCGACCATGTACATTAAGAAATCATATCTGTCCTTGATGGCAAAGCTAGATGGGAATTACTAGGCGAGCGAGTTTCACTGCTGTAATTTAGTCAGTTTCTACGCTTGACGTGCAAGAGACAACCGGAGCCAGAAAATATTTTGCCAACATACCAGACCATTCATTGGGCTGCAGGGCCCTTTGAGGGCTTTTTGTTATTACTGTGCGTTCTCCCCTCCATTCTCCCCACCTTCAGTGTAGTCCGTCATACCAGCGTCCTGCCCGTCGTTGGTTTCGCCTGCAAGAACCTTGGTCCGCGGAATCTCGTGCTCGGGCAGAGGTGCCCCGGGTGTAGCTGCGACGACATTGTCGTTCTCATCAACAAACTCAAAATTATAGCGGGATAGCAGATGAGGAATGGCAGAGAGTTGCGGGCCGTAACGCGCTGTATTGTCGTACAGTTCAAATAACGGCACTGCGAGCAGCTTCATGTTCTTTGGGACCGAGAGGACCTCTATCAGGTTGCGGTTGGTTAGAGCTCTCTTAAAGAGTGGAAAAAGCCCTAATGAAAATCTGCCAACTTACTCTTCTTAGGCAGCTGAATGAAGTACAACTTCTTACACTCCTTAGGCCGCGTAACGTGTCCGGGGAGAAAGGGATACATGAAGGTCTCGAAATTCGGCCGCCACCACTGCGCAAGCGTATCACCGATCTCCCAGTCTTCATTGACGCCTTCGCCTGAGAATTGGGATCCCACCGGCGCCAGACGCTCGTTAAGTCGCTTCTTGAATCCTTCAACCTCGTCATCCTCGAAGTGAAGATAGTCACCTGGTCTTTAGCACGCGGAGCATTAGTTTGAGTTCGTTCGCTGACTCTGGGTAACAGTTTCGAGTTGGCTATTGAGGCCAGCCCAGCTTGAAACTAGCACGACGTACAATTTAAAGAATGCATTGGCGATCTGCAGCATCAGAACATGAGGATGGTTGTGTTCGTGGCAGACAAGGACACCCTCGCAGGTTCGGCGCATGCCATGTTTCTCGTAATGTTCCTCCAGACGCTTTAAACGAGCTAGGACTGAGGGATCCTCTTCAGGTTGTGTCTCCTTGGTACCGAATGTGTAATTAGAAAGGGGGTATAAACGGATAGTCTTCGGTTGCTGTGCGGAGAAGTCCTTTGGGACGATAGGTCTGATAGAAGTTATACAAATCAGCATAAATGACGAGCGCAAAGTAAGACAGGCAATAGAGCCCCAAGGTTTAAAGAGGACAGGGTTCAAGCCAGAACTCACGGATGAGAGCTTCGAATCGACGTCGCCGTAGTTGTTGACATTTTGAGTGAAGTATATTCTAACAAAAACCAAATTCGTTTCCTGTGGTAAAGCAGGCGAGAGGTTTCTTGGAATTGGAGGTGTTTATATGTAGCTTGCTTGTCGCATGTCGAAGCTCTGTTATGTCGCAGATCGGAGCTGCCCCGCGAAAACGTTCGGCCGGATTCCGGGGTATTGCTAAAACGTAACTACGTGAGAACAGCTTTCGATGTCGACTACTGAATCAGATTTGTCCTTGATAAATTTCATGAGATGCCGCTCATATCGGAGAATAGCCGCGAGTGTAGCAGCTATCCTGCCATTGTCTAACAAACGTCACTTTAGAGGATCAAAGATGATATTGACGAAGCAGGGAAAGCACCAAGTATGCTACACGACCGTCTTTCGAGTGTGGGTTGGTTAAATCATCTCATTCGAGAATTCCTCGTTCCTACAGCATACTAGTCCAGTCTCCAGTGTACAATATAGAACCTGCCTAAGTGGAGAAGAAGTACATTGTATAGCAAGTGCAAAGAGTCAATAGAATCGAGGGGATGCGAAGTCAACTATTCGATCGCCTGCCGTCATCACGCATTAAAGTTGTCCACGATAGCCGCATCCTTGATCTTCTCCCAGATCGCATCGATCTGCTTCACAGCATCCGCACTCAGAGGACCCCTCTGAATCGCCGCCACCGTCTCCTCAAACTGACTGATGCTAGACGCTCCGACTATGACCGCATCCCCTAGATCCTGGCGAATATGCGAATGGAAGAAGATCCACCGATAGGCCAGCTCTGCCTTGGGAACTCCCTCCGCCGCCGCAATCTCAGCCCAGTCATCCAGCGCCTCCAGCAATTCAGGCTTACTGTACAGCTTATGATAGACCTGACCAAATGGGGTGTTTGGATCCCAGCGTCCCTTGCCGCCAGCAAGGAGTAGCTCTTTCGTCTTGGTCAGGAACCCACCAGCAATGGGGCTGTACGCGTAGAAGCGGATGTTGTTTTCCCGGAGGACGGGCAGTAAATCCGTCTCGATGCGGCGGGATATGGCGTTGTAGTTGCCCTGGTAGACGGAAGGGAGGACGTAACCCTTCTCCTTGGCGACGCGGACAACGTCCTGAACCTCCTCCGGGCGGAAATTCGACAGACCAAAGTGCTTGAATTTCCCTTCCTTGTAGAGCTCGTTGATGCCCGCGAGGGTCTCCTCGAGCGGGACCTCGCGATCCGGCGCGTGAATATAGTAAACGTTCACCTACGTTCATGATCAGTCCGTGCAATGGAAGTCAGATGAGATGGCAGCGAGCTTACAGTGTCCGTGCGCAGCTTTTGGAGACTCTCGTTGCCGATTTTGATCACCTGGTCTTTGGTGGAGCTTCCAGGGAAGAAGCCACCACCGATCTTGGTGTCAATGACGAAGCGCTTCGCGGCATTGGTTTGTCCCAACAGTTCCTCGCTTGGGCCGTAGATCTGTGCCGTGTCGATGGCCTTGACGTTGGTCCGTTCCAGGGCTTGAAGGAACTCTTCCACCTTCTCCGGGGTGGACCACTCAGGAGCGAAGAAGATACCACCGCCAAAAATAATCTGGGCGTGAGAGTTGGCCATTGTGTATTATGATCAGGGGGATTGCCTGAAGCAGATCTGAATTCTGAAGAAGATAGTGTAGATGTATTATGTTGATTGATTGAATCTATGGAAAACGTCAATCGGCCTGGTATTTATATATTGCTCGATGGCCAAAGTTGGGGGTGAGCTTGGACATTATCCAAGTGTAAAGTCCGTTCATCAAGCTTATCTCCATACATGGAAGTGTCATGAAACGTCAATTTGATCAAGGAATGGAGCCATTGTACATGAAGTATCCAATTGCAGAGGTTTAGAATGGAAGATGAGGATTACAAATGCGAGAGGTAAGCGGATTTGAAATCAACCTTGAATACGACTCGGCCAATCACTGCACGATCTGCGCCGCCTCTACGGGGTCACCTACCTTACTTTTAACTAAATGCTTAGGACAAGCTGCAGTACCACTAATTGTAAGGCGGCGAGGTCCCTTGACATACGACGGGCCCAATCAACGTCTTTAATACTTTGAGCCGCTACTTATATCCGAATTCCGAGTTATGCAATATATGGACTCATTATTGATCACTTTGACACCATCATTAACTGATTGCTTTGCTCCTGCGCTGCTTGCTAGCCATATCATCTTGATTTGTAATGAAGGACCGACATGGAAGCACCCAGAAGACCTTCTGTGAGTTGAAGAGGGGTTAGGAGGCGGTCGGGCTCGATCACATCATGGTATATTGGGTAGAGAGCATGAGAAGTTACAATTAAGATACACTAACCCAATCTTATGGGACCATCTTCACTGTAGTCCAGCAATCTAAAATCGAATAGTATATTTCTGACACAATTGCCCAACTCTTAGTTGCATCTACCAAACCTGGAAGCACCATGAACCCCCGAAATGCCGACCTCCAACCGTATGCAACATACCCAGCAAATGCTTATAGATTGGATTAAATCACATCAATCACAAACACATGAGAATTATGCTTCTGAAGAGATATCAGAGCTTGGCGTCGAAATCCTCAAACTCGCTAATATCTGTGACCGCGATGGGTCCAGCGCTCATAACCATGCGTGCCTTGAACTCGGGCACGTTGGTGATGTAGGTCACCTTCCGATCAGTCTTGGACTTGCCAACTCCATTAGTCACGGGTTTGGAGTCCTGGTCAGCAGTTTCAATGCCAAGCTGCTTCGCATGCAGACCAATGTTCTGTCGGGCTTGCTCAAGCACCGGCGCTGTCTGCTGTTCCGATAAGCTCATCTCAGAGTGCAAGAACTCCTTCAAGACAGCGAGAATCTGATCTGTGTTACTACCGGAGAGACCAGCCCTCTCAAACACAGAGCCCAGGCGGCTCGTATCCACGGCAAAGCCGGCGCTCTCCAATTGCTTTCCAAGTAGAGACAGCAGCCGGGATTGCTGGTCTTTGCCTTCGATTTTGGTTTGCGCACCCCCTTGAGCATTTAGATAGATTGAAAGTTTACCCCGGGTCGGTGAGCGAGGGTCAATAAGCTGCTTATAAAAGTCCACTATATCAGCCTTAGTCAAGGCCCTGACGTTGGCCGCATCGCTTTCATTCTGTAAGAAGTCGAAATATTCCGAGCCGATGTGACTCCAGAACCGCGATGTCTCGGAACTCAGATTCTTGAGTTTCTCCAGTCTCTTGTTGATCACGCTTCGCTTGTGACCCTCGAAATCCTTCTCGGACATATTCTCCAATGTCTCCCCGGTTTGAATGAGGAAGTTATCGATACGTGACTCCAGATACTCGGCCGTACGCTCACTCTGGATAATGACTCGGTAGCCAATGGTCGTTGCGGAATAGCGTGCACCACTCCAAACAACGTATCCAAGCTGCTCCTTGCTTCGAAGTTGATCAAAAGCAGGTTCATCTGTCATCTGTGCAAACAGCAAGAGCTTTGCGCGGAGCACATCATCCGTGATACTTCCAACATAAACATAATACTCAATGCAGTGGTTGATATTGGCGGGGTCTCGGAGCTCGCGTTCGTAGACATAATTGCTTCCAGGAGGGATGATAATGTTTCGCCTCACGTGCCATTGTGACTGGGGCAGAGCGCGGCTATGCAGAATGTTCTCCACCAAGTCTGTCATCTTTAGGGCATCCTCCTTGTACAGGTTGCCATGCGCTAGAACCTCAATATGATTCTGGCTGAGTAGCTGGGGGAAGAAGTTCGCGATATCCCCCGGTTCGATATGCTCCAATTCAGCAGCGTATTGTTCGTTGATCCATGTCTTCTCAGAGGTCAAATACCTGGTATAATCACCGACTTGATAGAACGGCTGTTGATACTCTGCATTGCGGTATCCCCGAGACAAGCGTTCCTTTATGATGTGGAAGCGATTCGGATCGACAACCAAGTCGCGCATGCTCGTAAATACTTTTTCCAGCAGAACAGCCATCTTGTCGTTGTAGCCTCCAACAGACACGTCCAATCCAAAGACACTGGCAGAGAGGTGATAGTCAAGCCCAGCAAGCTCAGCATCGTACGAGTATTCCACCAAAGCATCCTTGACAAGTTCACAATACAGCTTCGATTTCACCAAGTTAGCAGGGGTGGCCCACGCTAGAGGGTTTCTGAGCGTGATATGGACGGTGCCTTTGGGTACCCAAAAACGGTCATCTTTCTTGAACCAGAGGCGCACATGGTCATCATGTCGAATGAGTTTGGGTGTCTTTGCTGGCTCGGATACTTCTTTCTTCTCCACCGAGAGTCTAGTTGGAACGAACTCGTTCTTGTGGGGCATATGAAGATCAGACAGTCTAGTCTCTGGAGTGGTAGCCAAGGCTTTTCGGATGTCGGCCATGAAGTCCTGGGGTATTTTTCCAACTTTGTACTCGGTACCGTACCATTTTTCCTTGGAGTCCCAGTCTCCTGGATACTCCTGGGAGACAATAATTAGCCGGAAGTTGTCAGGCCGAAGGTACGACAAAGCCTTCTTGATAAGGTCGGGGTCGAACTTGCGCAGGAGGGAACCACTGAGAAGCCATTCTCTGGGAAGGGGCTTCTGCATGACGCTGCTCAGTCGACTGGTGAATCGACTGGCAGGGGATTTTTGTTTGAAGCGGAATTCAACTTCGGCCAAGTTCTTCATCTCATCGAAAACCCACTGCTGCGGCTCCCTTTCCTGCAACATCGCGATATACTGGAAGACCACCTTTGCTACCTCTCGGTACTGCTGCAATCCCTCTTTTGTCAAACGAATCGAGATGGTGAAAGCGGCGGATCCAGGACAGATGGGCATGACACCGGCAGACAACCCGTTAGCCCACCCCTTCGCCTTGATATAAGCCAAAATGCTGCCAGGTCCTTCGTGGCCAATCAGGTGACTGATATACCGACTTGGCTGAGCCTCGTAGAGGGTTTCCTCATCCAGAAATGGGAAATAAATGTCCAAAGAGCGGGTGTCCATAACGGGCTTAGCGAAGATTTGAATCCCCAAATCCTCGTCCCTCCAGGGTTGAACATCGTCCCATCGATTTTGCGCCAAGTCCTTGTTCTCCACTTCGGAGAACAGCTCTTCGACCCATTTCTCAAGCTCATCCAGAGACTCTCGCCCGAGCACACATAATCTCATTCGGTTCGCTGAATAGTGCTTCTCGTAGAACTTGATAAATTCGCTGCGAACTTCTAAGCCGCGTTGCTGAGGGTCCTCCTTCAGGGTCTTGAGGTTACCTGTGGAGAAGTGGTGATAAGGATGGGCGGGGTTGGACAATGATTTGTTCAACTGCATCAAGCGCCATAAATCACTCTGGAGGTTCTTCTTGTTCTCCGAATCCACGGCCCGCAGCTCGCGATCTAAAGTCGACTCCAAGAAAAGCGGAGACACAAAGAACTGGGCGAAGCGATCGAGCGCTCCATACAGAGGGGACGAKGGCTCGGAAGTGTCTGACTCCGCTAACGCATGGGCGCCGTTGGTTGTTCCGTTGGCTGCTCCGTTGGTCGTTCCGTTAGTTGAGCCGTTAGTTGAGCCGTTAGTTGCACCGTTGGTCAAGGATTGGCCGTTGGGCTTCCCATGTTCCGAGTCGGACGTAGCAGAGACCTCAAAAAAATAATTCGTCTCCGTAGCTGCTGTGTATGCATTCGACGAGCCAGAATGAGAGGCAAGATATTGATTGTAGGCATTTTCCTTGGGGAACTATCAGGGCCACGACGAAGTTAGTCACTTGAACTTCATCAAACGAAACCTGATATTCGACAAGTTTATTTACGACCTACCTTTTTCGTTCCCATGAAGAGTAAATGCTCTACAGCATGAGCCATTCCTGGCATATCATCTGCATCTGAAAAATTTCCCACATTGACATTGACGGATGCGCTAGCCTTGTCCGTTTCAGGATCATGGACTAAGAGCGCCTCCAGTTTGTTGGCCAAGCGAATAACTCGATAGGAGCGATCATCGAGCTCTGGCTTTTCCAAATGCTCCGTAATGCGTTCGATGGAGCCCATGTTGACGGCTGCAGCTGAGAAAGGAGCGAAAGTAGACCGGGGAAGGGAGCGAGGAGACCAACAGCGTGACAGCAGAGACTGAGGGCAATTCAAGCGACGACGTGGCGAAGAGGAGAAATGAGGGGCAATCGCCGTAGAGGCGATAGAAGGCGCGAGTGAGAAGGAGCGAAGATGACCAGGATTGAAGTAAAAGAAACCTCTAGAGTTCCACGGGCGGAGAGCTGCAGAGGACCTTGGAGGCATGCGATGCGGGAGGGTTGCCCAAGGGAAAGCCGCTAGGGAAGGGAATTGCAGGCGGAGTTTAAACAGTGGCCCCGGAGCTAAGTACTGGACTATTGCGCAACTACGCAAGGATTTGAAAAATCTGGAGAAAGGAGGACAGTACGGAGAAATTTATGGACGGAGAAAATAGGGCGATATGTACATGCAACTGTGCAAAGTAATTGAAATTGAGAAAGCAAACATCCACAAATAAATAGAAAATGGAGAATATGTCATGAGAATCACATATGAAGGTGATAAATTGACTTAAAGAGAAGAACCAAACCAGTAATGAGGAAGGATGATAGAGGGTTGACGACAGAACATCCCCATCTAGGAGGCGGTGAGGCATGTTGACTCGGGCACCCAGGCGGTCAGTACTCTTTCGCCATCCTCGAGGAATGTTGATCATCAGGGGAGAGTGAGCAGTCCTCAGACATACTGGAAGAATCAGTCAGTTTGAAATAATACAATATGTGTGTCGCTGTGGACGTACCGTACCTCCAGATACACTACTTGTATTGGTTACAAGATCTTCAGAATCATGCCAATTGAGGCCGGAGATATAATATTGTTAGCTTATAGCATTGTTTCTGTTATGGAAACATAGCCTTGTCTAATATGATATAGTATAGTGGATCTTTCCAACATACCACAAGTGTTTACGCTCTTAGAAGGGCTGTATTTCCTTGCCTAAGGCAATGCGTAATCAAGAGACCATACATACACTCAGTCAGGAACTCAGGATTTCAGTTCTACAGTCAGTTATGTCCTTCTTAAACAGAGTTCATGTGCTTGCTATGATAAATAATGTTTGCGAACAAAGATATAGATATTATCTGTGTAGCATTGCTCAAGATGTTACACCACACTAGAGCCCATGCATTGCACCCTTAGACGGACATCCCAGTTTAAGCCTCTGATACGTACAGGTACATAGTCAGCCGCGGATTTATACATAACTCGGCGGTAAACCCTCTGAAGCAACATAAGTCGATACATTTAGGAATTGAACGAACAGGAGCTGTTTCTGAAATGTATCCCTCCGGGTCTTCGTCTTCACGATTAACAGGCGCCAGAGACTGATCCAGCTATACTCAGGATGCTTATCTCCACAATGCTTTATCATCACCTTGTCCAGAACAGATGGAACTCAGCAACAACTTAGGACTTAATTAAAGCTCGCTCAAGGATAGCTCCAAGACCCAATTAAACAGCAGCGTCCAACTGATCCCTCAATATCGAATGCTTGTCAGGGTAGACTGCATAAATGCATACCCCACCTTGAACTTACGACTGCGGAGAACCTGCATTATCAGGTAGATCCATTACCGCACAGTCCGTAGCTTAAACATCATCCACTAAAAGTACCAGGTCACCCATCACCATGGATATAGCGCAATATCTCGGGGAGAACGGCTCCAACCAGCCCATCCGCTGCATCGACATGCACACCACAGGAGAACCCACCCGCATCGTCTACTCCGGCTTCCCAACCCTCTCAGGGACTCTCCTCGAGCAACGAGACCAAGCCAAACAGCAGCACGACCACATCCGCAAACGACTGATGCTCGAACCCCGCGGCCATGACGGGATGTACGGCGCCATCATCCGTCCGGAGACGGAGCTGGTCTCGTCCGGAGCCGCCCACATCGGGGTCCTCTTCATCCACAACGAGGGGTTCTCGACCATGTGCGGACACGCGACCATCGCACTGGGCCGATTCCTCATCGACACACACGACTACAATGTATTCCCGCGCCGCGAAGACCTTGTCTTCGAAGCAGACACGCAGACCGTCAAACTAAACATCCACGCCCCCTGCGGTCTGGTGCGAGTGACGGTCCCCGTCACGGCTGATGGGCGAAAATCCGACCCCTCACGGCCGGTGACGTTCCTATCCACGCCGGCATTTGCAACACGCACTCAGATGACGGTCCCCATTGCGCCAGAGATCCGATGGCCCGAGCTGAGGGGCAGAGACTCCATCGTGCTGGATGTCAGCTACGGCGGCGCATTCTACGCCATTGTCCAGGCGAGCGAGCTCGGCTTCGACGGCGGCTTGCGGGAGCTGGACCTCGATGCGATGACGCGCTGCGTCCAGAAACTCAAACCCTACCTCATGAGACTGCCGGAGGTTCAGGCTGCGTTTCGGCATCCGCAGGACCAGCGCTTATCGTTCCTCTACTCTGTGATGGTTGTGGACTCCACGCTTGGGTTTCAACCTGATGTTGTGCAAGGCACAGAGACAGGGCTGTGCTACTTTGCAGAAAATCAGATCGACCGATCGCCGACGGGGTCCTGTGTGACGGCACGGATGGCGCTCGCTTATGCAAAGGGGGTAAGATCTCTAGGTCAGCGCTGGGCGTATAACTCCTTGGTTTCGAATCACTTCGAGACAGGAGCTTTCAGCGCTGAGATTGTTGAGGAAGTGTCTATTGACACAGTAGATGGTGGGGGACTCAACGCAGTCATTGTCCAGGTCGAAGGCCAAGCATTCTATACCGGAGCATCAGTGTTTGTGGTGGAACATGATGATAAAATATCGTCAAGCGGGTTTACAATGGAGAAGGTTGCCCTTGGCCCGGGTATGGAGTCTTAGGATGTCAAACGTATAGGATAGATATACACAACAGCGTCTCAACTGCTACTGGGACATCTAGGATGTCCTTTGGATAGACACATGGTAAGCTTTCACATATACTTTCACTCTTTTCAAAGACTGACGGAAATCAAATAGTACGCGCATTTATCGTCAAGACTCCTCAAGCCCCATGTCAAAAACCCTTTAGGAGAATAATGATCTCTGTTTAAACCGTTACCGAAGGAGCAATATACTTCATTCAGACATTATCCATTATTCGATGAGGACATCCTAACTCATAATCCAGGAAGAACACTTCAACATAAATCACAACCATCAACTCATCCTAATCCCATTTCAGACCCAACCCTGAATCGACCCAACTCAAACTAACAACTCTGCGCACAAAGCGTAAGCACAATATCCCCATTCGCTCCGCAGTTCTTGACCTGGCTACCACTAGGGGGGACGCCGTTCGCCCAGCAAATGGACGGGCAAGTCCCTGTAGCCGGCTTCACGACAAGAGCGCTGCCAGAGAACGGATCGCCGAAGACATCGCTCATGTCGTACCAGACGGTCTGGCCGTCGAGGGTATAGGCGTAGTTGAGCTGGGGGCTGCCGTCGTAGAGCCCGTTGTCGGTACGGGTGATCTTGAGCGCGACGCCGCCGGACGCGGGATCGTAGTGCAGGGCTTCGGAGTAGGACTGGCCCGGCTGGATGGTCTGCTTGGGACCGACGGAGCCGCCGACGGACCAGAGGTAGACTGGGGCGGCGCAGTTGTTTGTCACGACGGCATTGCCTACGGCTGAGGCCAGGGGGATAAGGGCCGCGAGGCTGAGGAGGGGGGTGGTGAAGTGCATGGTTAACTTTGGTTCTTAGGATGCTTGTTCTGAATTCGATGTGATGGTGATGGTGATGGTGAAGATGAGGATGGAGCGAGAGTCAAGGTGGTCGACGGGGGTTCTTATAGATGGCGGTTTGCCCTCCTCGAAGCTCATGCTCCTCTGCTACCTCTGTTGGCTCCATGACATACTTCATGATGTCAAACACCGTGAGCATTGCCATCTCGAGTGAAGTCATAACTGAGACATCTCGTGTTGAGACTCATGGACCAAGGGCAAGGAACTGCACATGGAGCCTCAGTATGATCCGATTCATCCGGCGAAATCAGGCAATCCACCCCGGAAATCCATCTTTCCATCCAAGACATTACCACAAAAGAGTCGAATGCCATCCAGTCATATTCTTCTTCACTCATCATAAGGCCACCGAACCTGAAAATCATCGCGACTTCTCCACTCACCTCTTCATTCCCCTGGTACTCCATTAGGCCTCATTACTAAAACTCCGAGTCAAAGTAGATCCCTGCCTCCAATGAGCAAACAATCTCTCTCCGAAAGGGCATTAAGCATGCATGTCTCAATTTCCCAGACTCGGTTGGTCATATCATGGTATCGAAGGATCAAGCAATGCAAGAGTAATCACCTGCAAAGTACCAGGACAGCAGTCGGACTCGACCTACCAAGGTAGTAAGCGAGGAGCAAGTGCATCATTTGCTGAAGGAAATACCGCCCTCTCCTGATTCGTTCAGATTCAACTGCCGACGAGGAGAATGATGTACCCCGCGGGGTCCCAACTGAGACAGTTACATCCGACTGCCATGTCAGTAGTGGATCTGATCATCACGACTTGCAAGGAATCTAAAAATAAGTTGGGTTTCGCATTGGACTCTGAATGAACTGGCGAGGGAACCGATCTGCCGTGCGCTGGTTGGTGAGGTGTCACCCGTAGTCCACCTCGGGAAGCCTTACGTTCTCGGCTCGTGTAGGGCTTTCTCTGGTGTCATTTCTTTTCTGCTCTCTTCTTTCCATGCCTCTTGGAACTTTTGCATTATCCATGGCTGGGAGTTCAGTCTATCAGCTGACTTGTAAGGATTGACGTTAAGTGTCGTTCTATGACTGAGTGAGTAACTGTAGGCGATTCCATGCAACATCCCAGTTGTTAGTGCAGTGGGACTGGAAACTTGAATATCAAACGGTGGAGAACGAGACACCTACAGACATCATCTTACGTTAAAATATCTATTACTTTCAAGGGGAAATTGACTTGTATGGCGTTCCATTATGTCGCATCCCGCATTCAATGGGCTGAACCGAGTGAGACACCCTCGAGATCAAAGCTTCCTTCAAATCCGAGGGGAAGAATAAGAAAAGAAAAGAGAACATTAGTATGATATGTACTATCCCAAGAACCAACGCATGCCCCAATATCGTATGCACCACTCATCCAGGGCCAGGAGGAAGCTCGGCCGGCTTCTCCTTGGTCGGAGACCGGCTCTTGCTTTTACTCTTGCTCTTGGTCTCCTCCTCTTCACTTTCTGCTTCATCAGCTCTTTCCTCTATCCACTTGAAGACCTCATCTTTGTGATGCATCAGCATCTCACTGAGTCCGGCCTTGGGCGATTGGATCAGGTGTCCGTAGCGCTTGGACGGCTTGCGCCGTGTTTCCACATTATTCCAGACACCATGCGTGTGGGACACAAAGACGAGTGAGTTCTGCTCGAATTGTCATTTTCTAGTCTATAAAACAGCGCCAAAGATCTGGGAGAATGCAACACTCACATCTTTATACCACCTTGAGAGCCAGACCTGAGTGTGGGAGGCTATTGCTCGAACAGGATCCTCAGCGACAAAGGAGATAACACCATTAACCCGTTTGTACAGAGTGTCTATATTGGTCAACTGCTGCCTAAACCATTTCTCTAAGGTCATCCTACCTCTGTTGATCAAGAGATTCGCGACTCCATAAAAGGCATTGCCGATGCCGACAAAGAATATCTCAGTAGCCTCGTTTGGTCTAGCACAGTCAGCTGTGTTCCCTACGAGAAGCCGTCCCAAAACTTACTCAATGTAGTTGTCCCACAGGTATCCAGCCAATTCCTCGGTAGCCGAAGGCCGATTCTCATCTTCATCTTCATACTTTCCGGTAGTCTTCAAGTCATCAGCGAGGAACATTATACAAAAAGTCCACGTTACTTACAGGCTCCATCGTTACGTGCTTGGGAATATTGACATCAATGACAGCGTAGCCTTTCCCGATGGCCCATCCGATATAGTTCTTCATGCAATCAGCCTTGCCCTTGTTAGCATACACTGTTGAGTCTGATGAACCATCGCACATACCAGCCAGCAGTTATGGGCCTCGAGTTTGTTGGTGACAGGATGAGGCAAGCCCATGATTTCCGGCCTGCTCTATGTTATTAACTTCCCTACTTTGCAGGATATGATGAACTTACGGATCATGGAAAATAACAATGAGAGGCACAGCTTGGTAGTAATTGGCACTGTATAGATCAGAACATGTGTCTCATCTTGAGTATGCTTCTACTGACCTCGCCAGCACTTGATTCTCGAACGACTTCGAGATCGATGTCCGATAGATGTATAGGGAGGTGAGTTTGAAATTGTCGTACAGCTGCTTGGATTGATAGGCACGAATGACATCTAATACTGTTAATACCCTGCCCCACATCTGATCCTGGCTTGGCTTACCGTGCAACCTATCAGTCCAAAGTCCCTGCTCCTGCGGCCCTTTCGGGTACATACAGCGCCAATAGCGAGACTGGATCATCATGACACGCCTCACAGTAGCGGTTGCCAGATCTGAAGGAAGTGTTGAGTGCAAGCGGTCAGGCGGATCCCCCATGAGTGTCTTTGTGACCGCTAGGGCAGACTTGGAAATTGATCTGAAGTTATAACCGCCCTATTTTGTTCAGCGGTAGTCAAACTGAGATTTTTTGCAGCACTGACCTCAAGACACACAGCAACTTTGCCATGAGCGAGAGTCATAAGCATATGTGTCATATGAGCGTAGCAAGAGGGTGTCACAAAGCAGCCTCCAAGCTCGTCACCAGCAGCCGCATCAAAGCCGGACGCAACTGTCTAAAGTCAGTCCCGGTGGGTGCTTGTTGGGAAATAATCTACTCACCGATGACCAGGTCAGGATTGAATTCCTGCGCAATAGGCATCACAACCTGTTGGAAAGCATACATGTAGTCGCCATCGCCCATACCTTGGCTAGGCCAGGGGATGTTGACGTTTCTAGATGGAGATCAGCGCACGGAGCTCGCTTCTGCAGATCGCTGGATAAGCCTACTTTCCAATACCAGCGCCAGCTCCGCAGTGGTCCCAGTCGCCCTCGTCCCCTCCGGGGTAAAACTTTCCATCTTGATGGACATGAAGGGAGATGTAGAGAACATTGGGGTCGTCGTAGAACGCTTTCTGAATACCGTTGCCTATGAATCATGAGATGCTATACTTGAGTCGGATATTTGCAGGTATTCTTCATTTACCATGATGAACATCCCTGACCAAGTTAGCAAGAATTTGTATCAGTATGAGGAAGACGTACCAATCAACAATCAAGATTTTCCTGCAGCTTTCCCCGAGTGCTCTCTGACAAACACGCGCCGCGACGGAAACATTGTTAAACAGACAAAATCCCATAGTCTTGTCGTGTTCTGCGTGGTGCCCCGGCGGCCGAATGACAGCTATGGCATTCTTGACCTTGCGAGTGGCTACAGCTAGACATGTCTCAATTGCTCCTCCAGCTGATAAGAGGGAAGATGCAAACGTTAACTTGTTGAAGTAGATCGAATCACGCGTATGCTCCAAAGCAATGAGCTCATCATCGGACATGTCTGCGGTAATGGTCAGAACTTGAAGTAGGGAGAGACTTGAGCCCATTGCGTTCGCTTTTACCTTTTGTACTTTCAACAAAAGCGTAATGATCCGGCGTGTGAACGAGAGAGATCTCATCCTCGGTGGCATTGCGAGCATGAATACGTTTCAGAGGTCGTGCGACAAGCGGTCTTGAAGACTCTGGGTCATCAACGAGCCCTGCTCGGCATAGCTCCTTGTAGATGTAATAGATTCTCCTCGGGTCTTCAGGATGGACATCTGCAGTAGGTCGCACCTCACAATGGTAGCGCATCTGAACATCATAGCAGAGCCCTGACG